TTGTGGTTCAAAGCCAACAAGAAGTTCTATGAGATTCTTATCTCCAATAACCATCAGAAAACCAGAAGTGGTGCTGTGACTCAAAGTGGTAGAGCCCTAGCCTTGAGCAAAAGAGCTCAGAGATAGCACCCAGGTCCCACAAGTTCAAGCCCCATTATCAACAAAAAGGGTGGGGGAGAAGGAGGGAGGGAAGGTAGGAAGGAAAGAGAGAAGAGAGGAAGGAAGGAAGGAGCAACCACATGACTAAAACAGAAAAACCAGAAGTAACACAAATTTGAAAGATTAGAACACGAAGTTGAAAAGGTCTTGTAAGTACAGGCTTCACAGGAAGAATCATGTTGATTACCTTTTAGCACTAGGAGTGTTAACGTTGTCCCTCAATTAATGAGCATGTGTGAAGCACATCACTACCTACCACGTGGGCTTTAAGATGAGTGAATGGCTGGTCACCTCAACAATGCTTTCTGTTCTTTGAAGGGAAGGTTAAGAATTTCTCAAGATAATATAAAGGTATTTCAATAAAACAAAAAAAATAGCCTTGTCATGATTAGCACAGAAATCATTAGGTGGTAACCCCCCTGCATGGTCCTTGTTCGCGATCCAGCCCGAGAGTTGCCCTGTGTGCCCCTTGACTCCTCTCACGAGCACTCACTGAGCGGTCACCCTGCTAACCACAGAGGCAAAACGACCTGGAGGCTGCAAGAATGGGAAGACTCTGCCAAGGCCAGTGGAGAGGATCACGTGATCTTAATACAATCACAGGTCGAGGGACAGCCTGGCCGTGCTAAGGAGGACATGGAAGGTCTTAAGCAATGGACAGAGAATCAAGCTGAGAACACACACCATGGCCCTGGCCCTGTCACTGGACCCCTAGGTGATCGTGGGGGGCCTGGCTTCCTGACCTCACACTCAGTTCCTCTGTGGATAGAAAAGATAGTCTACGGGGGCATTAGAATACTGAATCTTACTTACAGCAATTAGTCTACAATGTATAGTGATCAAGGCTCACTCCCCAAGAGCTCCCAACACAAAGAATATCCTTCATGTGACTTGAACTGTTGCAAATGAGCAACGATGTGACATTTTTTAAAAGTCCTATGATTGAGAGATTCAATTCCTTCAGCTACAGTAAAACAGCACAAGACATGGGAACATAGAGTAACAGGAAATGTTCTCAAAACAGACTACAGGGTATGGTACCAAATGTTTCAGTCATTTAATGAGTCCTTGCCATATTCCAAGACTTGAAACTGACTGTGAGATGCACACACACACACACACACACACACACACACACACACACACACATTATATATTACCTGGGGGATGAAGCATCAGAACATAGCAAATACCAACACAAACATATTTACACATTGAATATGTAGGAATATGGTTTCCTTCCCCCAGGCAAATCTCCTCTCTACCCATTTCTTTGAAGTGTATTGTCCTTTAAAGCTGTATTTCAGTTCCACTTGTGACATTTAATACAGATATATTACAGAAATACACATATTAATATACAAATACACATATTTGAAGTATATTGTCCTTTAAGGCTGTATTTCAGTTCTACTTCTGATATCCAGTACAGATATATTTTAGATATACACATATTAAAGATATATGATGACCTATTATACAAGAGGAGAGGGAGAGGGAACTGTATTTCTCTTCTCTAAAAACATTCTACTCCAGGAAAATCAGAAGCACACTCACACAGAAAAATAAATGATCCTAAGTAGAACTAATCTCTCTTCATCTGTCTGAGGAGAGAGTAGGGAATGAGGAAAATGAATAGAACGCAATGTGACTAAGGGAAATGAACAGAAGGTAAGGCAAGGCGAGGAGAAGGTAATGTGACGCATGAGTACAAAGTAGCACGCATCCGTGGAACCACGCAGGGCAGAGGGACACTGCTCCAGTCTTTTGTTACTTAGGAGCACCCACTATTACTGGGTTCTTTTCAAGAAAATTGTCCACAGTTTTTAAAGTACTGGTGTAAGAAATTAAATACCAACAAGCACCCATACAAAGTGGTTTCCAAATGGTGTCCCCACCCCCACGTATAAAAATACAGTCAGACTGATCAGTGGTTACCATAACCCTCTCTCTGCGCAGTCAAATGCAGTCTCAAGGAAATCTGTGAACGTCCAAACGGCTCCTGCCAAAGATACTGCATTGAAACGGAAGTCTACGTGGGGCGCTGTTTAGATAACAGGTTCTGCTGCCTGCCCCTAGGCAAGCATCCCAGGATCCAGAACACCACGCCCAGGAAGAGCTGAAGCATCTTATTCCTTCAAATGTTTCTCCCCACCCCCTCTGTCTCTCTCCCCCATCTTTGTTTCTCACAGATATACTTCTTGATTCCTCAATAAGCAATAAAGAAAAATGAACAAAAACCTATGGGAAAATTCATGGATCACTGGTTGGCTCCAGCACATTCCATCCTTCTGTTGGGTGGGGTTGGGAGTGAGCTGGGCGGGGTGAGCACTTTGTCCCCTGCTGGGTTTGTCCTACACAGCAGCCTTCCTCCATCCACATGCGGGGGTACTCCTCCCCTTCCCCCATTCCACTTCCACGCAGTCCTGCCACGTTCCCCTCTCTGACCAAAGGCCAAATGAAAAACCAGAAGTCAAGCATTACCACAAACCTGGGTTGCGAACAGAGCAATGCTCAGAGCACAATCTATGTCTGGCTTGTCCCTGTACTTATAGCTGAGCTCTGTGGAACTTCCCTGTCCTCCACCTCACTGGGGCTCATTACTGAGCATTTCCTGCCATCGTATAAACTACTGCATTGCTTTTCTTCAACTGCTGTGAGAAATTGCCACTACCTTAGTGGACTGAAGCAATCAAGAGTGATTATCTACCCGTTTTATGGATTCGACACTTAGCCCAGGGCCAGGCGTGGTGACTCAGGCCTGTCCTGGCTACTTAGGAAGCAGAGATCGGGACAAAAGTGGTTCAAGGCCAACCCAGCCCCTCCTCCCTCTCCCTTCCCCCACCCACGCAAAAAGTTAATCAAATTCCTCTTCAACAAATAAGCCTGGCATAATAATATGTGTCTGTATTCCCAACTACGAAGGAGGCATAGGAAGGAAGATGACATTTAAAGGCTAGTCTCAACTAAAAGACTTATCTGAAAAGGCAAAAAAAAGAAAGAAAGAAAGAAAGAAAAGAAACAAAGTGGCTCATATGACAGGAGCACTTGTCTACCAAGCAAGCATGAGGTGCTGGGTTCAAATCCAAATCCAGAAGCTCGGCATAGACCTCAGTGGACCAAAATCATCAGGACCAAGAGGCTCTGCGGCTCACTTCCTCCATCTTATTCGGCAATAGTGGAACATGAATCACGGTGCCCTTTTCCCATCTTTAAAACCAGTGCTCACACCATCATTGTGAGTGCATCCTTGGGCATTCTCGACCCCTGTGATCACACCTGGTCCTGCGGCAGCATTCTCGTTGCTCACACTCAACTGGCAGCCAGGCCACTAGGCCCATCAGCCTAGCTACCAGGAAGCTGAGTTCTGAGGGTGACAGCTCCAAGCCAGTCCAGGCAAGAGAGTCTATGAAACTCTTATCTCCAGGTAAGCAGCAAAAAGCCAGAAGTGAAGCTGCGGCCCAAGTGGTAGAGCACCAGACATGATCTCATGGACTTTATATGAACAGTAAACAATGCTCTCCACACCTGACAGACATCAAAAACTCCAGTGTTTACAGCAACACTATTCACAATCGCTAAGACAACGAACCCATCTAAGTGTCCAAAATGGATAAATGTTTTTCAAAAAATTGTAAAATACATCTATAATGAAATAACTATTTTACCATTTAAAAGGATCTGGAGATTATACCATTAAGTGATTTAAACTAAGGAGACAATACTACAGGAGCTCAATCCACTAGGTTAGGTTCTTTCAATGAATTAGACACTTGTCAAACTGACAACTCTGTAATTCTTTTCCCATGGTGCCTTGCAAAGGTTTCTGAACACTGTTCTCATGTAAGAGAGCACAGATAGAACTTGAGAACATGTTAAGTGACAGAAACTAGGTACAGAAAAGATAAATGTGGTAATGTTCTCACTCATTGGTGCAAGCTAAAAAAGTTATAACAGCCTTAGTATACAATTGAAGTCAGTAGAGGCTAGGAAGAGTGTGAGCAGTAAGAAGGTGGTATCAAAACACAAGTAGTTCTAATGCTATAAATCACAGAGGACTACTTGTAGTAAACAACAGTTAATCGTACATCTAAAAAGCTGGAAAAGTACCAGGTGCCCAGTAGCTCACACCTATAATCCTAGCTATTCCGAGGCTGAGATCTGAAGATCATGCTTCAAGGCCAGCCTGGGTAGGAAAGTCCATGAGACTCCTATCTCTAATAAATTACCAAAAAGCTGGAAGTGAACCTGTGGTAGAGTGCTAGTCTTGAGCACAAAAGCTTAGGAATAGTGACCAGGTCCTTAGTTCAAGCCCTAGGACCAGCACCAACCCTTCCCGCCCCCCCCCCCAAAAAAAAGAAAACAAAAACAAACCTGGGAAAAAACTTGAACCTTCCCAAGATAGAAAGGGTAATATTTGAAGAAATTAAAATGATAATTACCCTGATTGCCCTGATTTTATCATTACATGTTGTATACATACAATATTCTCATTATAGCATGTCAGCTAAAATAAAATAAAATTGGAAAGAAAACATAAAGAAGAAATTATATTTAGAAGTTTTACAAAAAAGCAAACTGGTGAATGGTTCTGACCTCGGTGAAACTGACAGCCCATAGACAAAGGAAATGATTACCAACCTGGTTTCCTGTAATTAGGTTAATTTGTCACCAAGTTTCCCCGACTAGAGTTTGGAAACATTCCAGCAGAAGCCGGTTCATCTTTTTATGTGTTCGGCTTCACTGACCAAGAGCAAGTTCAGCCCCAGAAGTGCATAAAAGCCCACGATCCCCCAGGACCACGCTCCAGGACCACGCTCCACTCCTCTGGGCACTCCACCATGAGGTTCCACCCCCTTCTTTCTGTTCTTCTGCTCTGTGTGACTATAATACCAAAAGGTAAGCGGGTGGCATGATCCCAGAAGCGGATTGTGGAAGAAGCCTCAGTTCCACTCTGAGCATTGTACTGGATGCCCCCGCGCATCCCCTTTAGACCCAAGGATGCCAAAAGCAAGAAGCAGGGTGGGGAGTCCTGCCAACATAGAATGGGTTGCAAGAGCTCTAACGGTAGGAGAAGGCTGTGGCCACTGGGGAGGTGGGCGGGGGGGGGGGGGGGGGCCGGAGACAGTTCGTGACTTCATAGATTCTGTTTCCAAGGAAGTTGTGACTCTAGAGCACGGGTGAGGGTCCGCTGCCTCCTGTTTCATCCTTGGCATGTTTCCACTGTCCTAGCTTCATCGACAGACACCAATGTTGAGATACAATAAAAGTGAGAGTCTACATTGCTTCTTTTTTCCAATGGCAATGATTAACTATGTATCCTTTCTCCCACTGCCATGTAATATAACCATTATAACATATGAAAACTATACAAATTCTATTTATCTACTAGACAACCATTTTCTTCTGTGGGTCTATATGTTTATGCCAATGTCTAGTAGGCTACAAATAAATATCCATGAGGAAGGGCATTTATTCCTAGGTATCAATATCAATAAGTGATTTAATATTATCTTTTTGCCTCCAACTACTGTCGGGGCATGAACGTGTGTCACAGTCCCTGGGACCTCATTACGTTTTGGCTTCCTACGCAGAAAAAGATGCCCTTAAATTTCAGATTTACATTTAGCAGGAAGCACAACACTGGCAGAATAATTGTTCTACTTCTTTTGACTGAAGAAAGAAAGAAACATCTCCTAAGCAGAGACTCATTCTGTCCTATCCCCCGTGCAGCAGGTAAACTGTACAGGCCACTGCGTCACAAAACTCTATCCTGCAAAGAAAATGGTAGCTGTTCTGGCTTTGCCTGCCAAACTCATGCATTTGGAGTCTACACTGGAAATAAAGCTCAACCAGTGCCTTCCACACCTGGCCGGTGAAAGGCCACCTCTTCCTCCAAAAGATGGTGACTTTCTCATCTAGAATGGTCATGACAAGGCAGAGCTAGTGTTGTGGGCTACATCCAGCTTTCCCATCACTCCACTGTTTCACTGCATAGAGATCATTAGGAACCACTCGCTAAGGGCAGAGTAGAACACGAAACTGCTCTGGCTGAAGTTTCTACGAAGGCTAGGGCACACCCATACACAGGTTAGGAGCCCTCAGTTCAAAAACTGCACCAGCTTCTCTATCTATGTATGGTTTTGTTTTTGTTTTTTTTTCTTTAGAAACAAGGATAGCTAAGTGTTTAAACATGAAATAACAACTATTTTTTTTTTTTAAATCTCAGCCAAAGAAAGCCATCAAACTCTTAGAGTCAAAGAAGGTAGACATCAAAGACCCATCAGAACTGGTACATTATGGAATTGAGGTTTAGCAGGATGGTCAGGAACTACTTTCTATTAAAGAACATTAGCAAAACTCTCTCTCTCTTCTCTCTCTCTCTCTCTCTCTCTCTCTCTCTCTCTCTCTCTCTCTCCAGCAACATGCACTGTGATCCCCTAGCTGTGCTCAAAAGGCAAGGGAGATGCTAAAATTGAGAAAAGTATGGGCTGTATAATCCTAAACAGACAGGAATTTAAAAAACATGGAAGCCAGGTGCCAGTGGCTCACACCAGTCATTCTAGCTACTCAGGAGGCTGAGATCTGAGGATCACAGTCAAAGCCAGCCTAGGCAGGAAAGTCTGTGAGACTCTTATCTCCAATTAACTACTCAAAAACCAGAAGTGGCACTGTGGCTCAAGTGGTAGAGCACTAGCCTTGAGCTGAAGAGCTGAGGGACAGCACCCAGGCCCAGAGTTCAAGTCCCAAGACTGACAAAATAAAGAGAGAAAGAAAGAAAAAGAGAAAGGAAGGAAGGAAGGAAGAGAAATGAAAGAAAAGAAAAAGAAAAGTAGAGAAGAGAAAAGAAAAGAAAACATATGAAGCCAGGCACAGCTGGCTTAAAGATATACTTCTAGCTACTCAGGAGGCTGAGCTCGGAAGATCACAGTTCTAAGCCAGCCCAGGTAGACAGATCTGAGACTTTTATCTTCAGCTAGCCAGCAAAAAGCCAGAAGTGAAGGTGTACATCAAGTATTTGAGCACCAACCTTGAACTGAAAAGCTAAACAAGAACATGAGTCCTGAGTTCAATCCCCAGGAAAAAATATATGGATACATTTAAGGAATAATACCTTCTATCTCTGAGAAGAATTCTCTTCACACATCTCTACATAAAAGGAATTGAGTAGCTCAAGAACATTATTTCTTTTTTAATATAAATTTATTGTTCTTGTTAAGGTGTTGTACAGAGGGTTGACAAGTCCCTGAGTCAGGTAATGAATACAATTCTCAGACAATGTCACCCCTTCCTTCACATTATTCCAGATTTCCCTTCCTGTCCCTGCCACAAGTTGCATAGCTCATAGTTTACATAGTGTACACTGAACACCATTAGTGCATTTGTTTACCCTACTCCTTGCATTTCTGTGCCCACCCTTTTCCCACCTTCCTAAAAAACGTAAACACAAACACTAGTAGCAACAATAAAAACCTCATATTTCCATTATCTGGAATTCCTTTTGATATAGCATATTAGATCTTCAGAGGAATAATACTTGAGGTCCCTCCCTGAAGAACATCCTCCTTTCTTCTGTTTGTATGTTAATGCATAGAGCCCAGATATGTTTTCATGTCCAGTTATATTTTAGATTTAGCTTCTACATATAAGAGAAAACATGTGATGTTTGTGTCTCTGAGCCTGGCTTACTTAATTCAATATGATTTGTTCTTGGTCCATCTATTTCCCTACAAATGACATAACCTTATGCTTTCTTCTGGATGAGTAAAATTCCTTTGTGTATAGGTACCACATTTTATTGATGCACTCATCTGCAGTAGCGCATCTGAGCTGTTTCCATAACTTGGCTATTGTGCATAGTGCAAGTGTATATGCGTGTCTTTACCATCTGCTGACTTGTGATGCTCTGGGTAGATGCCCAGGAGTGGTAGGGACATTGTTTCTTAAATAGCTGGGGAACTGAATGAAGGTGGAATCTGAATGATAGGGTATCTACAGAAGGAGATGAAAATGAAGCTGGCAGTACACTGGAGGACCGAAGAACAATGATTTCATTCTGCACAGCGTTTGTCAGGGAGGAGATGTGGAGCATTTGTTATAGGATGAGGTTCACTAGTTGGGAAATTCAGCTCTGCCGTGCCTTACCAGCTAAATTCCAAAACCAGCGGTGCCTGGGGGAGGGTCAGACCACAACGCTATACTATTTAAGAAGTCAACCTGTTTCTTCCAAGGTGTATGGGATCCCTTGTAGTCCCTTGTCTCCACATAGGATCCTGCTTCTGTCTAGGTGGCTGATCTTTTCATTATGTTCAAATCATTCTCCAAGGGGAGGGAAGAGGGTGTCATTGCTTGAATATTTCCAACGTGTAGGTAGTGAACGGATAATGTCACATCTCCTCCTGTGCAGGAAATACTGGCCTCATTCCAGGGACAAAGAGATGCACTATGTTGAAAGGAAAGTGCCAGGAGAAAGGATGCACAACCACAGAACACAAGATGGGCGAATGCAGCAGCCACAAGGTGTGCTGCCGGAAGTGGTGGATATACGGACCCTACCCAACTCCAGTGCCCAAAGCAAAACCTTCGTAGACGGGTGCAAACGAGGAGTGTTCCCAAACGAGGAGCGCTCCCAACTCCAGAACGTGTGGACACGTCTGGTAGACTTCAGTTAAGCCAAACTTCCTTTTCCTCTTGGACTGGAAATAAAAATGTTGTTCTCATTTCATAGGAACTGGTCCCTGGGGCATTTCTTATTAATGCGCATAGCAGCCTCTTCAAAGCGATGAGATTCATCTGAGTCATACTGTCGCCTCATATCCTGAAGATAAGTATACAAAATATGAGTGCCTAAGAAAAAAGACAAAGGCAAGACTCAGAATGAACTCACAGCAGACGGCATTTGCTTATTGGGCGTCAGCGCTCTTCCTCCTGTGGTCCTGGAAAAGCCCCACTTTTCCAGTAGGGAGGATAGCTGGGGGGGGAGCACTTGCCTGGCATAAACCATGAATAAGGCACCTGACTGGGGCCATCACCCCAAAATACACAGTCCCAAATGACAGCATTGCACTGGTTAAAATCCAAAAAGATTAAAATTCCTGCAAGAGGCATTTATTTACACAAGACAGAATTCATTTGGAAAACACAAAAGCAGAACACCTTACTGGCCACTGCACCATAAAATAGGCAAGAGCACTTGACCCTTGCTAAGCAATAAATAAAAAAATAAAATAAAACAGGCAAGAGTAATGCATATGTCTTCACAGGCATAAACAGATACACTGGGGGCAGAGCAATTATGAATAATATGCATTAAGAAAAAAATCAAAAGTAACATTTATAACGGTGTATCATCATGGGTGAGAACTGTGTGCAACCAACTTCATAACTGCTATCATTTGAAATATCATGATGGACAACCTAAGTGGGCTGTCATGATCACCCAATGAAAGCCAGCAATGAGGCTGAGCACAGGGCTTGTGCCTTGTGGCAAGCCATACTCAATGAAGTTGAAAATTCCTAGGTCAAATTCACTATCTGATGGTAAATGAACTCGTCTTCTGTTGTAACAACCTGTACTTAAGAACTTGACTTAAGAGCCATTTCTCCTGTGCTCTTTGAGGAAGTCCCTTGCCAGAGCACCTGATCTTTCACCTGGGGGGCCCTACGCCATCTGGGGATAAGCATTGTTCCATGCTCACTAGGTGTTACCAGCCCATCCCATAATTCAGCGGACCTTCCTCCCACCCTTCTCCTCATCTCCAGCCGTTATTCTCAGGCATCCTGGGGACCCTGACTGCCCACCCGCCTCATCAGACTACAGCTGTCAGAAGGTCTCCAGAGCTTCTGCTCTTCCTGTTCCATGAAGGACTTCAGTGATTTCGCTCAGGAATGTTACTGCTTTGCAATAAGAACTGAACTCGCTGAGTTTTCCTCATAAGGCTAAGGACTCACAGATCCATGAGAAAAACTGGTACCTTCTTTGTAATCGGAGCTGGGGAAGATTCCAGATCAGCCCTGGTGGCCATGAATGGAGTGCTCTCCAACAAGGTCATCCTTTGTGCTTGTAGAGTATTAGGGAGGCTGGGCCCAGCTGCCCTGGCTCTGTAGCCTGGCAGGAGGGAGGGCTAGCAGCCTGGAGGCTAGGCATCTCCATCAACCTGTGTATTTTCTAACCCAACCATCCCTTAATCATGTGACCGTACCTTCCCAAGATGATGAGTCAATGACACACTGCTCTATCCAGTCTTTCTTTTCCCATGAGGAGGGAGATAAAGGAGATAAATACTTTGACTCTGTAAATGTTAATCTTCACAGTTCCTCCTGAAACCACAAGGCAATATTGATGTTTCAACAGAACAAATCTCCCTCCCTGCACCATGGCTGAGTATATGCTGAGTATATTCTCTGACCTTTGTCCAAACCCTGCCAGCATTTAACAAATGTACTTGGAGTGACTGGCGGGCACATCTGCAGCTTGCAATCTTCTGACACAAAGCTTCCCTGGAACACAGAGATGTTCTTGCTACTGAAAGGTTCAATAATCCTCTAGCTGCTGCCTCGTGGGGGTTGTGTGCACAGAGGAGCTCTGGGCATCTCACCTGCTGGCTGGGATCCGTGTGCTCACCATGAGAGCCCTGCTTTCCTTCCTCGGGGCCTTTGCCTTGTTATCCATGCTTTCTCCAGGTAAGACAGAGACTTTTCACTCCAGAGTTAAGAAAATGGAGGTGAGAGAGAGGCAAGGTCTTCCCAGAGTTTGAAACACAGAGTTTGAAAATATAAGAACAAGGGTATATTTTTACTGTCCAAAGAAGGGCATGTGGAAAGTTAGAGAGCTGATATTAAAGACAGCATCTATAAGGTGGTTCTTTTGTTAATTTAAGGCATGAGCTTTAACTTGAGGTTTCTGCTAGACCAAAAGATGGTTGGAAGCTACAGACAGGAAATTTGGGGAAATGAGAAGAAGGCAGAGGGGATGGGGAAGAGGTGGAAAACACTGTCCTCACCGGGGATTTTAGAATCAGTGCCAAGTACACATATGGGCCCTCAAAAAGAACTTTTGTAATAAACAGAAAGAGCTGGAAGCGGCACTGTGGCTCAAGTGCTAGCCTTGAGCAAAAGAAGCTCAGGGACAGTGCCCAGGCCCTGAGTTCAAGCCTCAGGACTGGCACAAAAAAAACAAAACAAAAAAAAAAAAACCTTCCACTGAGATTGCAGGGGCTCATGCAACAGGTATTAATCGATATGAAAAGTTTAGTATAGGAGGGGATTGTTACTTCAAGCAATGGATAGATAAAGAAAATTCAGGGCTGGGAAGGTGGCTCAGTGGTAGAGCGCTTGCTTTGCATGCATGAGGCCCTGGGTTCGATTCCTCAGGACCACAAAAGCAGAAAAAATTTTTAAAAAAAGCCAGAAGTGGTGCCGTGGCTCAAGTGGTAGAGTGCTAGCCTTGAGCTGAAGAGCTGAGGGACAGCGCCCAGGCCCAGAGTTCAGGCCCCACAACCAGACCAAAAACAAAAAAAAAGAAAAGAAAAGAAAATTCAAAAAGAAAGCATTGCATTGGGACTACAGTTTAGACCAAAATCCTAAACAAACATGTAAAATAGTCCCTCCAACAGCAGAAATATAGTGCACACAGATATTCTCCACAAGTGATCATGAAACAAACTGCAGCACATGTAGGAAGATGGAAATCATACCAGGCATCTTTTCCAATCACAGTGACATGCAGCTATAAATCATTAATAGGAAGAAGTTCAGAAAATTTACAAATTCATGGAAACATTCTTTTTTTTTGGGGGGGGGGAGTCCAGTTGTGGGGCCTGAACTCTGGGCCTGGGCGCTGTCCCTCAGCTCTTCAGCTCAAGGCTAGCGCTCTACCACTTGAGCCACAGCGCCGCTTCCATCTTTTTTCTTTTTGCATATGTGGTGCTGAGGAATCGAACCCAGGGCCTCAGGCATGCAAGGTAAGCGCTCTACCACTGAGCCACCTTCCCAGCCCGACTCCATGAGACTCTTATCTCCAATGAACCACCAGAAAACTCCAAGTAGAGCTATGGCTCAAGTGGTAGAGCACTAGCCTAGAGCAAAAGAGCTCAGGGACAGCGCCCAGGCCCTGAGTTCAAGCTCCACAACAACAACTAAGTCCCGTCTTACCTTTTTTCTCTTTATGGAAGAAATAACTTCCCTTTACCCTCTGGCTCCACTATCTCGCATGGATTTATTTATTTTCCAGGAAGGTTCTTTGTTGCTACTGTATTTTCTTTTTTTTTTTCTCAGTCCAGTCGTGGGGCCTGCACTCTGGGCCTGGGCGCTGTCCCTCAGCTCTTCAGCTCAAGGCTAGCGCTCAACCACTTTAGCCACAGCACCACTTCCGGCTGTTTTCTTTTTGCTTATGTGGTACCAGGAATCGAACTCAGAGCCTCATGCATGCAAGGCAAGCGCTCTACCACTGAGCCACCTTCCCAGTCCCACTACTGTATTTTCTTGCTGAAGCATTGCAGAGATAAAGAAGGGCAAGCAATATAGTATATTACAACTTTTCTTCTCTTTTCAAAGCCAGAAGCTTCCTTTTCAAAGCTGCCTGTTCAACAAGATACTACAGCTGCAGGATGAAGTGCAACATGGATGAATATTCAGTTAGATACTGCGAAGACTGGAGCATCTGCTGTAAGACCAAGAAATCAGAAATTAAGAGAAAAAAGAAATGGTGAAAAGTCTCTATATTCTCTTTGGATTCCAGGAAAACAAACAAAAAGTGTGTAGAATGCCCTTATGTATCCCATAATAATCAATATGATGGATAAAAGAAATGTCACCATAACTACATGTCTAGATGGTCAGGTTAAAATAAATACACACTTGATAAAGTCTCACCACTCTATTGTCATGTGTGAATCTTAGCATTTACTTCCGTAATTTCTATCTACAAGCACACTGTTTCTTGACCTATCCTACTACCTCCCAGTCAGTTAGCAAACAATTCAAAATCCTCTCTGGGGAAGGTAAGATTATCCTGCAGTAAGGAGGCCAGGTCTGGCTGGCGCCATATTGGCCACATGGTGGGTGGTAGGGTCTGGCATCTTGTCTTCATGCTGTGGGAAGGAAACCTCCCCCCCATCACCCGCCTCGCAGGTAATATGCTGGGGGAAGGAAACCTCCCCCCCCCATCACCCGCCTCGCAGGTAATGGGTGTTCGTACCCCTGAAGGCAGAGGCAGGCCCTTGGCTGATAGGTTACTGACTCTGTCAGTCCAGTGCCCGGGACTGGGAATTTCCCGAGGATCTGCCCCCTGCACGGACCCATTTAGGCCTGGACCAACCTAACCAGAGAACTCCATGCCATGTGTGTCTCCATGATCGTGTCCTGGGTCCTGTCTCCTGGCTTGTCTCCAGTCATCATGGAGTCCTAATTCAGCTCTCCATTGGAGCTGAACTGGCTTGTTGGTATTGTTTTTGTTATTTCTTTCCTCTTTAGCATGTGTATTTGCATGCTGCAGGCCTTTGTAACAACTGGCAGCCTGCAGCCTGCTAACTGCATAATAAAGACTCCAATATTCTATATTTTAAAATGTGGCTTCTGGGATGATTTACCGTACAACAATCCCAAATCATTTTGGAAATTAATCTCTTGCGTCATGACCCATTTTATTTTGGAAATTATCTCTTGAGTCATGCAGTATTCAATATGGAAAGGTATCACTTTGGTTCGGGCTGATATGTGGAACTTACTCTTCGCCTTGTGAGCATACCAATGGCATACTGACTGTGTAAAGCTAGCAAACAAAAACAGAAAAACTGGGGGCTGGGAAGGTGGCTCAGTGGTAGAGCGCTTGCCTTGCATGCCTGAGGCCCTGGGTTCGATTCCTCAGCACCACATAAGCAAAAAGAAAAAAGCCGGAGGTGGTGCTGTGGCTCAAGTGGTTGAGCGCTAGCCTTGAGCTGAAGAGCTGAGGGACAGTGCCCAGGCCCAGAGTTCAGGCCCCACGACCGGACCCAAAAAAAAACCAAAAAACAGAAAAACTGGGCTGGGAAGGTGGCTCAGTGGTAGAGTGCTTGCCTTGGATGCATGAGGCCCTGGGTTCCATTCCTCAGCACTACATAAGCAGAAAAAGCCAGAAGTGGCTCCGTGGCTCAAGTGGTAGAGTGCTAGCCTTGAGCTGAAGAGCTGAGGGATAGCGCCCAGCCCCAGAGCTCAGGCCCCATGACTGGCAAAAAACAAAAACAAAAACAGAAAAACTGCCATCGGCAGAAGCAGGCTCTGGAAAGAGCAACGTGTCTGGAATTTGCTTTGTAACTGGAATCCTACCCTCATGGTTGTAACTTGAAAAGATAAATGAAAAAAAAATCTACCTCTGGAAGCTGGATAATAAAATATATGAGTTTATTATATGGTTCTTTCACTTTTGTGCATCTTGTTGGTTTTTTTTTTTTCCTGTGTGAATCTCTTTTTTAACTTTAAAAGTGGTGATTATTCACTATAGGGTACAAAATGTTGCAATACATGTATACATGGTACAGTGATCAGGTAACTAACACAGCTATCACCTCTTCATGGTGAGAGCATTTTTTAAAAGTTGAAATCATGGACGTAGAAAGCAGAGTGCCAGGCAGTAGAAAAATAGAGATGTTCGTCAAAGGGTACAGACTATTGAACAACTAACTATCGAACAGCAAACTAAGCACAGGCAAAGCTTTCTTAAAAAATATACAGGTGGGCTGGGAATGTGTCTCCATGGTACAGTGCTTGCCTAGCTGCATGAGGCCCTGGGTTCGATTCCTCAGTACCACATAAATAGAAAAAGCCAGAAGTGGCGCTGTGGCTCAAGTGGTAAAATGCTTAGGGAATGAAAAGGCAGCTGGCCCTCGGGCCTCCCTTCCCACTTTCGGGGCAGAAGAGGAGCTGTGCTCACGTAGCAGGAGGAGCTGTCAGACAGGACAGGGCTGTCAGTCTGGCTCCTCCGGGTTACTCAGCCTAGCATGCCTGCCCTGAGCTCAGTGCGCCCAGGTCTGGGAGTCTTGAGTACACACACCTTCCCACCCCTCCTGCCACGAAGCCTCTCCTCACTGCCTTGCCTTTTCCATCCTTCAGAATCCAGTGCCAGCAGTAAGAGGGGAGCTGCCCTCAAGAGGAAGCTCCGTCCAAAAGAGCAAGTCCCTCACTCACCCAGAGACCGTGTAATTTTCAAAACAGAAAAAGGCATCCATCAGCTGGGATATCAGCAAGGCCTAGGCCATATCTTGGCTTTTTAACTTGCTTGTTGGACAAAGCTAAGCTTCTGTGAGTCTGTTTCTTCACGTAAAAAAAAAGAAAAAGGCAGGGCTGGGAAGGTGGCTCAGTGGTAGAGTTCTTGCCTGGCATGCATGAAGCCCTGGGTTTGATTCCTCAGTACCATATACACAGAAAAAGCCAAAAGTGGTGCTGTGGCTCCAATTGTAGAGTGCTAGCCTTGAGCAAATGATGCTCAGGGACAGTGCCCAGGCCCTGAGTTCAGGGCTGGCAAAAAAGGAAGAAAGAAAGAAAGAAAACTAATACGAACCACAAGGTCTTGCAGGGATTAAAGAAGATCACTGTAGAATGTGCCGGTACGTAAGGTGTAAAGATACCGGACTCATGAGAGCTAGCACTATACGCTTCACTAGTAATGCCCTATTCTGTCTCAAATCTAAGAATATAACTGTATGACAGCCAAACCCAACAAAACAGTAAAAAGCTCATTGTTAAGCTTTTTAAAGATAGCTTAGTCTTGGAAATGAGCTTATTGTCCATTTCTAACTGGTGAATCCCTTAGGAACAGAAGAAAACACAGTTGGAACTGCTTGCAACCAAAGAATCCCTGAGGTTTCTGCGGGAGAGGGGGAGTCTGAGCAGAGGAAGCAGCAGCTAAGGAGGCCCGCAGGGCTGCACAGCTGGCGTGTCTATCTTTTCCTGACTCTGAAGAGTCTCCTCACTGAACATTACCAAATCCAGCCAAAGCCCATGTAGTTCTGCAGCGCCTGGAAGTATCTTCAGAGCGTGTGACCCAACAGCTGGAACTGAGAGAAGATCCAGAATCCTTCAAGCTGAGGACAGGACCAGAGGGTCACAGCCTCCAGACAACCATCACATTCCCTTTAGTGCCTGACACATTTACTCGCTTGTCACTGCCAGAGGAACTTCTCACCTCGTGACACCACCATGAGGCTTTCACTTCCCAGAGTGCCCAGGGTGTCCCTGGGTTCTGTCTGACCAAGTAACCCAGTACATGGTGTGAAAAATGCCCGGCCCATGACAGCTGCCTCCACGCTTTTAATTCATAACACCCGGTCCTGCAGACAGCGTTCACTCATTCACTAAATAATCACCCACTCAGCTCAGTTACCAAGTCACAGACCATGGTACATAAATCCCGTGACCCAGGAACTGCTAAGGTTCAGATGTGAGGATGATACAAGTTTGACCTTGAGGCATCTCCAGCCTGTAGGACGTCTGTCATTTCTCCTGAAGATCATTGATCCCACAGGACTTGATGGCTTGGATACGGTGTGCGTTGACTGAAAGCTTCTATGAACAGGCAAATCCTGTTGCTATTTTCTTTCTAACACTGTCATATATAGAAATAGAGGAATATTCAGATTTGTTCATTCTGGGGAGTGGTATGTCTCCAAACTTTGTGAGTCTAACTCAAGGCACTGAGCTACAGGGAGATCTCATCCGCTTGCAAGCTCACAAGAGCACTTCACACTGCAAACATCTAGTAATATTTGTCTTGTCTTCTCCTCTTAGGACATTTTGTACTTCCTCTTTGTTGTTGTTGTTGTTTGTTTGTTTTTGTTTTTGTCTAGGCTAGAAATGCATTGTGGTTAAGATCTTTAGCATACTCAGATCTATACCTCAGCAGTCTCTGAGTCACAGAATTTATAGAAACTGGCCTGAGAATGAATAAATGAATAATTAAATAATGATTAAATGTCTGTATGCATTGATTGAATTTTACTAACCGAACTATTCAGACAAGTTTTGAGTTACTGTCTTAGCCCAGTGTGGTAATGAAATACCATGGACTGTATGGTTCCAATAAAACTTATATCCTCAAAATTATGGAAATGGGAAATCCACAGAATGTCCCCTGATTCTACGGGTTCCATTTCTTTTTTTAAATTGTTATTATTAAGGAGTTGTACAAACGAGTTACAATCCCATAAGTCAGGTGAAGAGTATAATGTTTCTTGGACAATGTCACCCCTTGCTTCTCTTTCCCCCATTTCCCCCCTCATGTCCCTGCCCATCAGCTGTGTAAGCTCCATTCCTTGTGTAAGCTCCAGGCCTTTGTCAGATGGAATGCCAGTGATGATGTCACCAAAAAGAGGCAGAGACCAAGAGACCATGTCAGTAGAGCCAAGTGAGAATTGAGCTCTGCAGAGAGCTGGGTCCACACAGGGCAAAGGAGCAGAGAGGAGGAGGAAAGCAGACTACTTACCCGGATGGCGTTCACCCTGGCGAGACCCAGACCACTGTCCCCAGAACCGACCACTGTCCCCAGATCCGATGATGCCCATCCCGGTGGAGTCACCAAAGGACGGTGACCAGACCAATGACCAGTGGCGCTGCTGGAAGGAGGTCTGCAGGAGGAGGCGGCCTTCGCCTGGACCTTAAGGACTGAGTTTGTGATTTTGTCATAACAAAGAATTTGAGGAAACATCAAGGTGGAGACCAAGAAAGTCTATTGGTAAAGCAAAGCAAGGGAAAGACAGCAAGATAGGACTCTACCCAGATGGGGTGGGCACAGTGGATGGCGGGTACAATGTGCACCCCAGTGTGATGGGCATTTACAGGGAAAAGTAGGTTGGGGTTTGGCTCAGATTCACCTTGGAGAAGGGCTTCCCTTTGTTCTAACCCTGGGTACATTTCATTGTTCTTACTGTTCCTTTTTTACATTTTTATAATCAAATGAGCCCAGAGACTTCAAGGTTGACACACTAAACTTTGAACACTGATGTCTGGATTTTCTTTTAAACAAAAAAAAATGTATTATGCCACATGCACCCTTCAAAGAGAGTTGTCCATCTGTGTGTGTGAGAGAGAGAGAGTATTTTACAAACACTTTTTGTGCCCAAAGGAGTCACTTTCCCAGAAGTAGTATATATTTTAAAGACTTTCCCACTCAGTCCCCAGCATGCTCATCAGTTGGGCATGCAGGCTGATTAAGGAGAGAGCTATTCTTTTTTGTCCCCCTACTAAATGTTGCAATTGATAAGAGCATGTAAGACTTAAATCAAAAAGAGTGTGTATGTGACTTTAATCGAGCTAGCTATTAACACAGTATATAGCCACTCCGCACTTAACGCTGTAACTCTACATGCTCAGGCTCAACCAAAGGCGGCATATGTTCTGGTTTTATGCAGCACACATCTATGTCATCACAGAGGATATGAAACAATTCATTTGATGCACACGATGTCTTGCAAACACCCCTTGTTCGCCAACATGAATGATACATTTGTCTTATTTCGTTATTCACTCCACCCCGAACTGCCAACAGAAACAAAGGTGGATTTTCAGTCAGTATCCGGCTGGATCATGTGGTCAAGGTTAGGTTAGACTCAGGGCTGGGCTTTACAACATGAATGACAGGTTCAGGATACCCAAAGATGAACTGTGTCTAGATAGCACCTTTCTAATTTGCTTCTCTCTGAAAAAAGGGGGCCTATGATGAGCTATGAGCTCCCATGGTCCACAGCTACCTGGTTCACAAATCGATTCTACACAGGTGTTAGGGAGCGGCAGGTGCTTCTGCGAGCAACCCTTAGGGATGGAAAGATTGTCCAGGTGTACTCATGGGGCCTCAGTGGGCAGCAGGCATGCGGAGTCTGAGTGAGCAATTCCCAACGCATGGGCACGGAGAATGCAAGATGGCTGCACCATCGCTCCGGAAGCCCCTGGCTCTACTGCATTTCCCCATCCTGTTCTGCACCACATCTTGCTCAGTGGCCGCCTGCCTGCCCTGGCTCAGGTCCTCAGAACACCCCTAGTGGATGAAACCCACGCCCAAAGCTCTTGCCAGTGACTTTTCCAGATGGTAAGACCTAAGTTCCTTGGAAATCAGGGGTGCAAGATTGGCATCGGGAAGGCACGCGGTGAGGACGCAGCCCCCCCAGTCACCCCAGTTTTGCAGGCTCTATCTTATTCTCTCCCCACCAGTTGTTTCCCTGTGTGGATTGGGCCTTTGTGGAAAAGTGAAGCAGCACGTGAAAATAATCGAGTCAAACTCGTCTTCCACGTGCCGGTGGTCTCTGGGGACAAAAGTCTCCGTGGTGGCGCAGAGTGTGCAGACTGAGACACGGTCACACAGCGGGCGGGAGGGCCGCAGGCACAGCCCATCCTCCGCTGCTGCTTATGACGTCACCCTGGGCCATCGGTGACCTCATAGCTCGAATGTCAAAGCCTGAGGCCCAAGGTAGGAGCTTTCTGTCATCCTGAGAACTCCCATGCTTCTAACTTAAGTCAGCTCTTGGTTTTTGTCAAGTTCCCTGCGTCTGTCCAGGAACAGAAATGCTGAGTGCTAAAAAAGAAAAAAAAATCATGCTTCATGGGCCGCTGAGCTAGAAGTTGGTTTACTGCTCTGCGTGCACATTCTGCTCAGGACATTTTCCCTAGGAAACAGGCCACAGTTAGCTGACGTAAGGAGAGGCACGTTCTAAGAACCCTCAAGAGAATGCCGCCCAACTGAACCCTTCCTGTCTGCAAAAGGTTGTGTGTTGGGTGTTGTTTTTTTCTTGTTTATTTTTTTTTTCCAGTCCTGGGGCTTGAACTCGGCTGAATGCGGTCCCTGAGCCTGTCTATGCTCAAGGCGAGCACTCTACCACTTGAGCCACAGCTCCACTTCCTGTCTTTTCTGGGTAGTTTATTGGAGATAAGAGTCTCACAGACTTTCCTGCCTGGGCTGGCTTCAAATGGCAGTCCTCAGATCTCAGCCTCCTGAATGGCTGGGAGCAGAAGCATGAGCTACCTGTACCCAACTAAAAGGTCTTTTTGTCTGCTTTGCTCCCTCTGTACCAATATCAACCTGACCTTCTCCACAAGCTCCATAGACTCTCCAGATCAAAGTCCGGAGCCAGTGTCTTCTCAGAAGAGAGCCTGTTATGCATGCTTAGCAAATCGTCTCTACCCTGAAGTAGCCCAGAGCATCTACCGCTGCTCTCATTCTCTCTCCTGGCTTCCCTGTCTCACCAATGTAGAACCCTCACTCACTCTCCCTTCCCTGTCCTTAAATCCACGGGGAACGAGATCTGCTTTACCTGCTGGAACACAGGAGAGCAAGACAAGAACCACAAGGACCAACAGTAGGCTCCTCATGGCCAAGACGATCCACACAGAGGCAGCTGGTGTGCGAGGGAGGGTCCCGCTCTATGTAGCTTTCGAGAGAGGGGGAGACTCGTGGCTAATGAACCTTTGAGAACAAGAACAACTGCTTGCTCCACTGAGCAGTCCCATAAACAAAAGGTCCGACTTTGAAGATGACATTTAAGCACAAAAGTCTGCTTGCTGGTGCCAACTGCATGCTAGAAACTGAGTCTGTAAGCAGACTCGACGGAAGGCCACACCCAGAGTGCTCAGTCGCTCTTTGCACTGAGCATGCCAGTCATGTGCACAAGCACAGGGCCTGCTTCATATCTTACACACACGGAACTCATTGCTACACATACACAAGCGTTCACCTTCACATGAAGAAGTACAATTCTCAGATGGAATAAAAGACTTTCCAAGTTTGCACAAATTATCACAGGAAACCGCCCGGCATCCACAAGGCTTTCCTAAGTCCTGGATGGACAAGAATTAAAGTAGGGCCTAACTTGATCCTAGGGTAGCTCTTCTTTTTTCTTGAGGAAAATGGAAGCTCCACAAATGGCATGGACGAATTCCCACACACCACCACCACGAGCCAGGACAGCCTGTGCCCCATGCTGGGCACGTCCTGGGCAATGTGAAGGTAGACGACATCCTTGCTTTGAGAGGCTCGAGATCAACAGGGCTGGACAGTGTCTGAGTGTTTTAAGTTTCACAGCAACTCTATCTGCTGTTGTACAAAGAACACAGAACCCATAATGAGAAAATCTGACTTCTGGTGTGCACTCTGCAGGCACTAACTAGCTTGCGGAGCTTTTAAAAGACCCAGATCCCACTTACCTGAACACGAGGGTCTTCACTGGGAAAGCAGCTTGCTTCATCTGTCCTAACCTGTCACAAAGCTTATTGTGAACTCAGAGAAAGAAGGCTGGATGAAATGCCCTGTATGAAGTACACATTGAAAGTTTCTATCACAGAAGATTTTAAAACTAGAGATAGATAGAAGATAGGAGATGAAAGAGAGAAAGAGAGAGACAGGTAGAACTTGTTCTTGTTTTTCAATGTCAAGAAGATGTTTTTATTTAGTTGGTATATCTTTGAAGGACAGAACAGGAACTAGAAGAAAATCAGTAAGCAAAGGAAGGCTGTGAGTTTGGTGGAGCCCAGATGCAGGATCAAGAGCAACACGAGTTCTATTGTAGTTCACACCTACCCATCTCCCTACTACTGGCACTCAATCAAGTCCACCAGATCTTACACGAAGCTAAGTCACCGGCTCTCCCAGATGTTTAGATATTTGCCATTCATCCTCCACTCACTGGTCGACACAGCCCTTACAAACACTGAAATAGCGAAACGAGATCTTGCATTTTCCTTATATAAAACCCTTCAGTGGTGTCACAGCCACACTCACTAACTTGTTAGTACAGTCTGGTCATTAAAATAAGGTTTAGAACCCTCCCATGGTGCCCTTAGGAGGTAGAGACAGCACAGTGGGCAGACTGGCCTGGGCCCTGGTCTCTTCTAACCCAGTTCCTCTGGTTCTTCCTCTGTCTTTATTGAAAACTAGTGACCAGTTCTACCCTCCAGCATGCTTCCCTCAAACTTCCACACGCTCTTCCTTTGCCCTGAAAATCTGCCTCTCTCCCCTCCGTCTTCCAATATATGTATATTTTGAGGCTGGGAAGTTGGCTCAGTGGTAGAGCACTTGCCTTGCATGCCTGAGGCCCTGGGTTCGATTCCTCAGCACCACATAAGCAAAAAGAAAAAGAAAAAAACTGGAAGTGGCGCTGTGACTCAAGTGGTAGAGCGCGAGCCTTGAGCTGAAGAGCTGAGGGACAGCGCCCAGGCCTAGAGTTCAGGCCCCATGACCAGACCCCCCCCCCCAAAAAAAACAAACAATAAATGTATATTTTTAAACAGGTTTTTTGGTTGTTTTTTGTTGTTGTTTTGATTTGTTTGTTTGTTTGTTGGTGTTATAGGGCTTGAATTCAGGGCCTAGGCGCTGTCCCTGAGCTCTTTTGCTCAAGGCTAGTACTCTACCACTTGGAGCCACAGCTCCACATCCAAAAAGTAGATATTTTTAAAACAGCATTATCTACTTCCCAAATTCAGCTTCTCTTTCATAGCTTTTCCTCGTGACTAGCACATGAAATATTGAAGTCCAGCATTTCATCCATCCTTGTTTTCTGGATTTCCCGCTTGTTCTCTTTACCTGACTATAATTATGCTCAACGAGAGTACAGATGGATGCAAACAGCATATGAACAACACCACATCGACAAAACCCAGACTTCTAGACTATTCGTTTTCTAGGACTGCAAGGATACCAGGCCACACACTCAGTGCTTCACGCAGAAATGAGGTCTCACAGTTTCCAAGGCGAGAGACCCGAAGTCAAGTTGTCGCAGGGTTGGCTCCTCCTGAGAGCCAATGGAAGGATCCCTTCCAGGCTCCGGGTCTCCTTCGGGTAGCCTCGGGCACCCCTTGGCCTGCAGCCGGTGTTCCCTGTCTCTTCAAATCATCTTCGCTCTATGTGTGTGGCCAGTTTCGCCTTTTTTATAAGAACCCTGACATATCGGGCAAGGGCCAAGGCTAATGACCTCATCTCAATTTGATCATCTGCGAGGACTCTCTCATGAGATAAGCTCATGTTCACAGGGACAGGAGGATAGGACTTCAGCATCTTTTTGAAGCCATAATCCAACCCCTAACGAACATGAATGCTCAGTCTCCTCAGGTAATAGTTATCTCCTTTGTTTTCTTTTCTGCTGTATGTTGTATCTATTGAAGAACCCAGAACCCTGGCACTGCACAGCTTCCCACAAGTTTTCTAATGAATACATATTCACTCTCAAGATGCCTTTGACCTTGTATCTCTGTCCTCCTGTTTGCGGGAAATTAGCAGGTAAATCTAGAAGTTTGATCAGACTCAGGTCCAATCCCTTTGGCAAGACTGTCATGTCTTGTATCCTCTCATTAGAGGCGTAGAAGATCTGACTGTCTCTTTTGGATCAGTAGCTATTGTTTTTCAATACTGAGATCATGGATTTATCAAGGTTTCCAAAATAGTGTTATATTCTTGGCATTTTACATGCACTTATTAGTGAGAATATTTTCAAATTTCTATTCTTTTTTCTCAGCAAGATAAATTTCAAAAAGAAAATGCTCATTTCTTTTTCTTACTAGTTTTCTCTATATGAAGTTATTCTTTATGCAGCCTTCAAAGATGATCATTCAGTTTTCTTGAGATGGAATTTCATGGTGTGCATGGCATTAAAACCACTGTGTAGTTCAGGCTATCCTTGAACTTTTTTTTTTTTTTTTTGGTCAGTCGTGGGGCTTGAACTCTGGGCTTGGGCACTGTCCCTGGACTCTTCAGCTCAAGGTGAGTGCTCTACCACTTGAGCCACAGTGCCACTTCTGGTTTTCTAGTGGTTTATTGGAGAAAAGAGTCTCACGGACTTTCCTGCCTGGGCTAGTTTTGAACCTCGATCCTCAGATCTCAGCCTCCTGAGTGGCTAGGATTATAGGCGTGAACCACGGGGCCCCGGTTCCCTGAACTTTTTATATCACCTCTGAAGTGAAAGGTTTACCAGTGTGTCCCCATGCTAAGCTCAAGTAAGTTTTGTTTTAATATTTAAAAATCATGCATTCTAATATTTTATGGATTTTTACCTATTGACATTTTCCTCGTTACTGCAACTTTTGCCCATCTTTGATCAGAGCCTTTATAGATTGGCCCATAGTTGTTTTTGATACCGTTTCCTTGTCCTCTCTTAAAATAAGATACATTTTGTATGCTTCCCGCTTTGAATCTGAATCAAAAATTTCCCCCCAAATCCCTCCTTTCTCTCCCTACAAATGGCAATTCTAGACCATAACCTGTGCAATGAGATACTCATGGTTGCTGGGTTGATGGGGAGCTCAGAGAACTCCGCACGTTTGAGCTGGAAATACCACGAGAAGCAAACTCACCACAAGAACCTCTTAGGGAAGTGAGCAAAAAGGCTCCCTTTTCAGTTGCTAAATTTGCAAGTTGGTACCTCATATTCTCCACAGCCAATGGACTCATTATTTGGAAATTCCCCATCATTCTTTCTGTTTCATTCGCCTACATGCTGTTGGCATGAAGATATTGGCATAGTTGCTACTTTTTTTTTTTTTTTTTTGCCAGTCCTGGGGCTTGAACTCTGGGTCTGGGCGCTATCCCTGAGCTTCTTTTGCTCAAGGCTAGTGCACTACCACTTGAGCCACAGCGCCACTTCTGGCTTTTTTGAGTAGTTTATCGGAGATAAGAGTCTTACAGAGTTTCCTGCCTGGGCTGGCTTCAAACCACCATCCTCAGGTCTCAGCCTCCGGGTTGCTGGGATTAGAGGTGAGACCCACCGGCACCTGGTTTGCTCTTTGATTTTTACCTACTCGTATGTGGGTGTCGACAGCCACCAAGTGACAACTGGAACTTTTTCTTCATATTCTCTCTCCAACCTTTCCCATACAAGTAATATCTAGTTGTTAGATCAGTTTTTGGGGTGGGGGTATAGTAAACTATGAGTGTTCTTACAATGAAAGGAATGGCAAGTATGTAAGGTGATGGGTATGTTAGACAGCTCAACTCAGTCATGTCTCAGTATATGCATGCTTCGGCAACAGGTACAAAATATATGTATATATTATGCTTAATCAAAAAAATCCAGGTAGAGGTCCATACCTGTAATCTCAGCACGCAAAAGGGTGATGAGGAGGGGCATGAATTTGAGAAGAGTCTGGGATAAATAGTAAGACTACGTCTCAAAAATAAATAAGTGGAAATTTTTTTTTAATTAAAAAATTGGGCTGGGAAGTTGGCTCAGTGGTAGGGCGCTTGCCTTGCATGCCTGAGGCCCTGGGTTCAATTCCTCAGCACCACATAAGCAAAAAGAAAAAAGCTGGAAGTGGTGCTGTGGCTCAAGTGGTAGAGCGCTAGCCTTGAGCTGAAGAGCTGAGGGACAGCGCCCAGGCCCAGAGTT